GGCCTGTAGCACCTGCACGTGGCTCCGCTGTGATTCTCTCTAATGCATGGACAGTTGTCCCCAGGGCCCCTTCTCCAGGGATGCTCTCCAGAGCTGCTCTAGACACCTCCGGGGCCTGCTCAAGAGCAGTGACACTATTTGACAGTGGCAGGTTGCCCATCCGGGCCGTTGTGGGGATGCCTAGACCTAGAGGAGACATGGGTGACATGGCTGTGCCCAGCTCAGCACTGCTGCTCTCCACAGCAAGAGCTGGCATGTGCCCTGTTGGGGCAGGGGACAGAGGCTGCCCATGCCCAGTGGTGCCAGAAGCCACGGGGATACTGGACGGGTGGCCAACAGGGCTGTTGGAGGAGACCCCTGCGCTTGCCTGGGGGCTGTCCCAGGCTGCCAAACCCTCGGCAAGCCCAGAGACAGCTGCTGTACCGGGAAGCACCTCCTGCACCTTGCTGCTCCCAGCTGGGACCATTGCTCCTGCAGTCTGCACCACCGAGCCACCTGCAGGGAGAGACAACATGGTCCTACCTGAATGAACACCAGCGGGCAGGGATGTACCTGTCACCAGCCCTGCGCCAGCATTACCTGCTACAGGGTTGGCGTTACTTGATATCTGGCCATCTCCAGAGCTGGCCCAGCTGGAGGCAGAGGGCTGGTTCAACACAGGCTGGTTCACAGCTGCCTCACACGTTCCTAGTCTGGCCTTGGTGGGTGACACATCTGCTGGTAGCCTGGCATCGGTGTCTTCAGACGCTGAGACGACGTCGTCGGGCTCTGCCGGGGACTGCTCTGCTGACCCGCTGGCAGAGGAGCCGTCCACAGCTCCAGGCAGTGGGACATGGAGTGGCTTGTCCGAATCTCCTGCTGACCCTGCAGAAGGCAGCGCTGCAGAGACGGGGCTGTGGCCAGGGAGCCGGAACACCAGCAAGGGCGAAGCAAGGAGAAGCCAGCCTGGTGTTTTGCTTCCTCACCACGTCCCGTCCCTCATCCCCGCTCTGAGGGCTGCTGCAGAGGAAGGTGATGCCCAAATGCCACCTGCAGGGCTGGCTCCTGCCCTGGTACCTGCCGCGTCCTCTACCCTGCTGGCCAGGTCCCAGCCAAACACAAGCTAAGAAAGCTCGTCCTCTGCCTACAGCTCTTGGGGAGAGGTGATGTCCCACCAAGGTTCCCCCAACCTTGGAGCCTCTTCCTCCGCAGTGCGGGAGGCGGCCCCTCCTGGGAAGCGCTTCCCGCTTGGCCGAGATGCGGCCGCTGACAGCGTTCCTGGGCTGGCTGGTACCCGCTAGGGACACCCGGTGCCTGCCCCTTCCCTTTGTGTCACAGCCCACACTCTGTCTCCTGCAAGCACCTCTCCTTTCCCTGATGCCCACCAGGAGCAGCAATGGGGCCATGAAACCTATGGGCAGAAGCGCGGCGCTACCCCAGCTCCCCACCTGCTCAGGCGCCGGTGGGTGCTCGTCGGCAGTACCGGCAGACTCAGAGCAAGACACAGTCCATCTCCGTTCCCAAGCCCTGGTCACCAGCCCACCCTGAGAGGTCCCTGCAGGCTCCACTGCTCCTCCCTGGGGGACCTGGGCCACAGCCATGACTCCGGAGAGCCCACATAGCACATTGAGATGCCTGGAGGGAAGGTGAGCGGAGGGGCAGCTGCCCCTGCCACCCTGGCCAGAGCGTCGATGCCTCGTGTGAAGCCCTGGGGGTGCTCAAGGAGAGCCCCGCATGTCAGGCTCTTACAGTGCCCCAAGAAGGATTGGGGCCGGCTTGTGCCTGTGTTTGCTGCTCTGGCAACCCGTTACCGAAACAACAGCCTGGCTGTGGCACTCTGGCTTTGTTTTAGACGTAGGGAGCAGCCGATCGCAGCCCTTCGCCCGTAACCGAGATGGTATCTGCCCCCGTTTGCCAGGCAGCTGCACGCACCGCGACCCCGGCGCTTACCTGGCAGTGCCCAGAGCCCCCAGAGCAGCCAGCCCCAGAGAGGGAGCCGGCGCGGATGCCGCATGGTGCTGGGGCACCGCGGGGCTCCCGGCGTCGACGGAGCGGCGTCGCCTCCTCCGGCCGCTGGAATGAGGCTGGCGGCTCTCCCGGTCCAAGGAAACGAGGCGGGCTCCCAGCACCGAAACACTCCCCTCCCTGGGCCCTCCTCCGCTGCCGCCCCATGTGCCGTGTCCGCGCACAGCTTTCCTGCTCCCTCCTGAGGGTGCTGGAGCCCCGGGGGGCTGCCACGGGGCCTGGCCACAACTTGCACCCATTGGGCCAGAAACTGGCTCTGTCACCTTGGAACAGCTTTGAGCTTTTCCCAAATTGCCAGTTTTCAGTGCCAAGCGTGCCGAACTCGCTGGGGAGCACAGATCTGCGGGTCTGGAGTGACTGCCAGGGCACTGTGGGTGCAATGTGGTGCCAGGATCCTCCTGACCCCTGCTGTCACCCCGGCAAGGGCTGAGGACACAAGTACCAGCCGTGCTGGAGGGATAAGACCATGGTAGGACCCATGGCCGTCATCAGGTCCCCTCACCGGGGTCAACACCTCGAGACTGGGGTCATCTTTAGTGTTGTAGCCCCTTTTTTACCAGGGTACAGGGAGGACCATAGCAGGGGGGACCAGCCCAACCCCAGGCGCAGGTGCCAGCCCCGTGCCCACGCTTTCCTGCTTGCTGCCGGCTCTGGCCACGCACGGCCGCCCGGCTGGTAACCCCCGTCAGCGACGGGCCCGCTGCCAAGGAGGAACAAGGAAGCAAGCAGCGCTCCTGCTTGGCGCCCCGCTGCCTCGGGGTCCCTGTGCTGCTCAACCCTCCCCAACCCTGGGGGCTTCCGCAGTGGTGTCTCCGTCTGAGCCACGCAGAGCCCTCGTGCTGCTCGGCTCTGCCCTGACAGCGTTTCCCAGAGCGCCACAAAGGTCGTTGCATTAAGGGCTAATCACCTTAATGGACTCATTACGCACAGGGGGTTATCTGCGCTATTGACTGCGTCCCATTGCAAACGCCCACGCAAACCCAGGCGTAGGGGGGAAGGGTGCTGTTCTTCCATGGGCGCTTTGGGGCTGGGCCTTCCTCTGCTCTGCAGGTCACCTTAGAAAAGGGAAAGGACGGAGACACTCACCGTGGCGTGCAAAGGCCCTGCTGGGCCTGGTGGGAGCACTTCCAGCAAGCAAATGTTTGCTTATCCACCTCTAGGATCATTTTAAGAGAGGGAGAAAAAAGTCAAGTAAAGCACTGCATGTTGCTTCACCTGCAACCATCCTGCCTGGCTGCCACATAACAGAGGCAAGTGCCACAAGAGCTGCACCGTAGGTGTGGAAAATGAGGTTGTGCATGGCAGCCCCACCAACCCTTCCCATCCCCATGCTCAGAAAGGACTTATCGCCCTCGCTGGGGAGGGCACAGGAGACGGGCTGCACAGTGCGCCCGGCACGCGGCAACGTGGCCACGAGCAGCCGGCGCTGGCTCCGGGCAACCACCTGCCACAAGGAGAGATGCCCCAGGAGGAGCAGGCAGCCGGGTGACTCACCGCACGCACACGCTGGAGTCCTCCTGGCGCAGCCTGTCCTCCAGGGCTCCGTCCTCGGCATGTGCCTGGGGTGGCTGGAGATGGGGGAGCTGGCGGTAAAGCCCGAGGGGCTTTGCTAATGCTGAGTATTTTGCCATTGCGGTGACACCGGCGTGCCCAAGCACAGCAGTTCAGCGCTGGATTGAGTGGTGCCGTCAGCGTTACCGCAGCCGACATCCCCAGCCCACCTGGGATCGCTCCCAGGCACTGGCAGCTTCTGCCTGGCACCTGGACACGGGCCAGTCCCTCGAAGAGCCTGTGCAGGTCCTGCAGGCTCTGCAGTGCACACAGGCTCTGCGCGGGGGAAAACGCAGCACTGGCGCTTGGTGTATTTAGGGACATTGGGGCCCAGGCAGTTTGGGCCCCGAGGGCCTTTTCCCCCTGCACAGAGGCCACCTGCGTGGTGACCCTCAAAGGTGGCACCTCAGGGAGCTGCAGCGCAGACCTGGCCCTTGGCTCAGGCGGTGAA